GACTTCTATCATCCAGATCAATCATACACTAGCTCTTATGAAAGATTACTTATTCATAATACAGCTGGCTTGATCACTCTACCACCCGGCTATCTGTCACTTTGATCACAGAGCCCTATTGAAGTGACCCTATGGTAGGCTGATCCCCTTGAAAAATATAATTACCATTTACTGTATTCGTTTTCCAAGTCAAAATGAGAAAATGTACGCTAAGTCCAGTGACCCCAACCCCACACATGAATTTAAAAACCTAATGTGAAATACCACTATATTATATATACAACATCATTATCTTATACTCTGGAGCCACTAGTGGAGTAGGAAACGTGGCTCATATATTCCAGGTTGCATTTTTTATTTTGACTTCATTTAATATTTTGGTATCATACATGTATTATCAGATAAATTCAGTCATTAATTTGCTATTATTTATCATATACAAACACGATTTTTTGTTATATTCCATCAATAAATAATAGCATACCAAGAATTTGCTCAAGTGTATAATGAAATCAGATTGTGTCTCTTCATGATTTTTTTTAATACTGTTATTATTGTAAGTATAACAATTGATTATAAATTCATATTTATATAGTTAGTTTCTTAAAATAAAATCAGCTGAGTATTATAAAAGATCTTTTGAACACTTCTTTAGAGAATTTTCATCCACCCTCAAAGGTAAGAGTTCAGGAAATAAAACCCTGTCCATCTTGATGAAAGATGAGTGTGCTATCCATTGCACTGCTCGATCACCCATTAGCTATCACGACACAATATTGATCTGGACCGATGTCTAGTAGAAGCTAGAGAGGATACTCTAGGGGAGGAAACTCTGGTAGGTAAAACTAGGGGAGGAAACTCTGGTAGATAAAACTAGGGTAAGAAACTTTGGTAGATAAAACTAGGGGTGGAAACTCTGGTAGGTAAAAATAGGGAAGGAAACTTTGGTAGATAAAACTAGGGGAGGAAACTCAGGTAGATAAAACTAGGGGAGGAAACTTTGGTAGATAAAACTAGGGGCGGGAAACTCTGGCAGATAAAACTAGGGGCGGGAAACTCTGGCAGATAAAACTAGGGGTGGAAACTTTGGTAGATAAAACTAGGGGAAGAAACTCAAGTAGATAAAACTAGGGGAGGAAACTTTGGTAGATAAAACTAGGGGAGGAGACTCTGGTAGATAAAACTAGGGAGGAAACTTTGGTTGATAAAACTAGGGGTGGAAACTCTGGGGGAGGAAACTCTGGTAGATAAAACTAGGGGAGGAAACTCTGGTAGATAAAACTAGGGGAGGACATTCTGGTAGACAAAACTAGGGGAGGAAACTCTGATAGACAACAACAAAATAAACAGGCTTTTGATGTTTTGTGTTAGGTGAAAATGCATAAATTTATAATCGAAAACATGCCACAACATAGCAGGACCAATGATGTGTGATCAGTAAAGAAGGTTTATATCAGATAAAAAGGTAGATGTTAGATTAGAGAAGTTTTGCTTGCATAAAAGATTATAAATTATATGACAAGACTAAATTTCTGTTTATAAAATGCAGCGATATATATTAGATATTCTCATATCTAGATTACACAGGTTTGTGTTGGACCGTTTAAAGGTAAACAGGGTTTAAGATTGTATTGAGAAAATGTTGTTTACATTATGATAATTTGCATTATGGTTTTCATTTTATATTGATAGACTGTCTATTTTATTTAATCACATGACAAGATAAGCAACTTGTTAAATACTGTCATGAATGTTTAAATCCAGAATCCCTGCACAGAACTTAATTGTTGTCTTTGTCAATTCATTCTTGTTTTGTAGCATTAATGATCCATTAGATACAAGAATTCAGATGATTTTTAACCAAGCATGTTTTGTTTTTAAATTATTATAATGTATCTTTTTTTAAATAACAGTGGTGACTTTATGTATGGCCTTTTTAATTTGTATATTTATTTCACAAATATATGTATACACATATAGCGTCGAAATTAAGTGCAGACAAGGTATCACATAACCTAAACTTACCTGAAGAAAGAGAACTAGAAAATGTATCCCCCACAAATCCGGAGTGTAAACTTTGACGTCCAGCACAGTAGTATTGTGCTAAATGCTGTAGACACCATAGTCAATCTCTTACGTGCCATGAATTGATACCGTATAATGTATTGTATGTACCTCACTCAAATTTTGTGGTTCAAGTTTGAATTACAATGGATTGTGCCTAAAATATGTTGTGTTTTTTTTCTGTATGATGATGACCATGTGCTCTTTTTTTTCTTGAAACTTTTGTTGTAAGTTAAAAATGTTTTGTTTTTTGCCATTTACAAGTATAATATGGAGGTGGTTTACAATAACAAGATGAAAATAATTCAATGAAATGAAAGATTGTTATTACATAGAAGTAGATTTTCTTTCAAAACCTGTACTTGTTGAGCAAAAAGGGTACTTTCTCTTTTCTAATATTTAGCACTCAAAGTTCATCTTCAAAATGGTTTTTTGTAACAACCCAGAATAATAAGATGCGTGCTTTTAGTTGCAATTTTGTATCTCCGACCTACAACATATTTCATTTAAAGTCAGAGCTGTACAAAACATTTAGGATGATTTTCATAAATCGACATTTTTTGGTGAGAAAAAAATCACCAAAAAAATGTCATTGCCAAGAATGTATACAGATATTATGGAAAACCTGTTACCTCTGACTATCATCAACTTGTCGTTTTGACTTCATACATATTGTCTTCAATGCTAAGTCACAATTAATGTTGTGTGTTGTCAGAAATCTTACATTAAGATGTCGTGTGTTGTCATAAGTATATGAAATCACAATGTCCTTATGTCATGTCTAATGTCATAAGTCTGACATTACAGTGATTGTTACACAACAGTACATGGTTACGTTCACAGTTAACCCTTATAGTCAGTTCTCCATATCAAAGTCTACAGGTGTTTTTTTAATCATGATTTTTTATATAGTAAAAATACTATTTCATTTCCTGTGTATTTACTCACATTGAACTGAAAAATAACTGTTGTTGGTAAATATTTTTCGATCTCACAAAATGTTGCAATATCTATATACATGTATTTGTATGTATTGTTTGTACAGTTGGTGTGCTGACTTTGTTCAGTTTTACCAGGTGAGTTAGACAAAACAAATATACACTATGCCTAATCTAGGATTGTCTCAAAACTGTGACGGTCATGTTCAGCCTGCTCCCCAAGCTCAGACAAGGCATTCAGCTTAGGTTAAATCTTATGTGTTCCGGGCCCTTTTTAAGGAGTCCTGAACCAGCAAACCATTTTATGTAAGGTTTACTTTGTTAACAAATGTCCAAATAGTATTTCTTTGCTCTATGCATTTCTCCGATATATCTAATTAACTTCTGTAATTAATGTAATTAAAATTGTTCTGTTCTTAAAGGAATCCTATAATTCCTTTCACGTTTGAAACATTGTGATATTACCAACTAAATACAATTTGTATTATATTAGTCTAGCATACACAGACTGTACCACAGGGACCTGATAATTTGTTACAGATATATTATGGACCTAAACTATGGTATTCAGAATACTTTTTTATGTTTTCAGGGGTGGCATTTTTACCGAAAGTTGATCTAAACCCCTAAAATGTATAAAAGTACTCTGAATACCTTAGTTTAGGTCCAAATATAGCTGAAACAAATTTTTAAGACCATGTGGACTGTACATGTACTGGCATGTAATATGCAGACTTGCTGTCAAAATCTTCTGGTTCCGTGTTTACAGGGCCACAGGGTGATATCTGCAGAAATGTTGGAACATAGAGTGAAATAACATTGTATAATTTACACTGTACAATTTACACTGTAAAACTCTCTGTGTAATCAGCTGTCGTCCCACCATTTCTACATAAATCTAGACTAGGGAATATAGAACTGTTGTCAAACGTGACTGGAGGGGATAGTAAATGTTCACCGTATTCCGTCCGTAACACACTCTTTTTTTTTCTTTTTTTTTCTTTATATGTTTTCTTGAAATGTATATAAACACAGGTATCCTAAGTATATATTTGTAAAATTGAGTCGGTCAAATAAAGGAATAATAATAATTCGTGTTTTTATATTCTATCCCATTACCAGGTAAATACATATTTTGTTTTCTCTGATATTTGGAATGTATGATTTCCTTTTCAGTAAATTGTAGCGATAAAGTTAAATAGCTCACCCTGCAGTTCTTGACGACAGTTGCCCCCTGTGAACCACTCTACCAGCAATAGGAGTGCTCTCAGACCTTCATATGGCATTAAATATGGAGAGAGAGAGACAGAGAGAGAAAGATAGTTCAACTGAATTATCACCTCATAACCGGATGACGAAAATAGAAAAATGTTCCTTAAATAACAAGAATTGTAAGAAGTATTATTTATTGACAATAAAACATACATATTATATTAAATAAAAGCATTCATGTCGAATTTGATGTCTCAGTATTAAAAATCTAAGCATTAATTTAGAATCATAACACTTGTTCTTTCTAATTGATCCTTAACTGCATCATATACCTTACTAGACTTATATTAATAAACATTTCCTTTCGCAACCTTTCTCTCTCTCTCTCTCTCTCTCTCTCTCTTTCAACAAACCATACTTATTAAGCATTGCTGTTCCTAACAACATCTGGAAATCACAAAGCGATTAACCTGCCATCGAATATAAAAAGTGGGCATATCCATAACGAAACGGCAGAAGGGAAATAACTCTTATAAAAAGTTATACTCAAGACGAAACATACGAAGTAAATGTTTCAAACGTCAAGACTACAAAGCTGTCTATTTAGCGTGCATGTTATATATTTTCAGTAAATATTTTTGTTGGGTTAACTTGATTATTTTGGGGGATTCATTTTGGAATAGACAGTGGCGGATCCTGAGGGTTTTACCATTGTCCTCAATGTTCCCCCACATGACCCCCCCCCCCCCCCCCTGGAAATTAGTAAAAAAAAACAGATAGGTCTCTGGATCCGCCACTGATAGATGCCTTTCGTTTTCATTGAAAAACGGTGTTTAGTTGTATAACTTATTCATCGATATTAATATTTTAAACATTTAAAGCGTATTTCATTTATTTGGTTGCAATCTGACATCAGATGCTACTGCAGAATACTAATACGAAATTCGATGATGGATTTGACATGAGTCAGTGACGTTCGAACCCCTCGCAACACTATATACGCCATTTCTTGGAAATCGCTAACGCTTAATGTTCCGAGTGCCTCAAACGCACCACGTGATCTGGTATAGAAATCTGTCAAGCTCATGAAAGTCTGTGAAACTGAATCCACATCGAGAAGAAAACACAACACATCATATTGTTTATGAATTAATCTGTCGATATCATTGGCTGGAAATCGGTATCGTCGATGATCTGCACTGCCGAGTGTTAACATTTCTAGTGCGATCACACTCAGCTGAAGGTCCTCGTAACATTGCTGCAGCTGAAACACCTGGAATACATATGTGTTGCTTTTAAATATACGACAAGTTTTATCACAGGACCAATGTGCAATTTATGTGTACACCAATACCATATCATATACTACGAAATCTCTAATTATCGTGGGTTTTTTAATTTCGTTAATTTCGTGGGTACTCGTCATCCACGAATTCATACATGTAGTTTCACGAAGTTATTACAGGTTTGACATAGAGCTTTTCCTCGTATGAAAAGGTACTTGTAATCCACGAATTCCTGCCCCCACAAAATTTTGTTTTTTGTCAAACCACGAAATTTGGACCCCACGATAATATCTGATTGAAACGTATTTCAAATATGAACTCATGCAATATTCAATATGACGTTTTCTCATTCATATGTAACATCATATTTATCATAACAAAAGCCCACAACTGTTTTATTGTATGCTCCGTTCCGTAATTACACTCCTCGTAGCAGAATGTAATTTACGGAACGGAGCGAAGATGAAGATATGGTTCTGATCAGATTGCGTTTTCTGCCATGTACCTTTACAGGTTTCACACCTTCCGTCTTGGATGATTGAACAATGCTCGATATGGATACCTGTACTGGGAGTATTTTAACTAGCCAAGTTATCCCTTCATGGTTCAGTAGCCTCCGCACAAAGTCGGTTTATGCTTACATTCGTAGTACAGAGGTTCTGTACGGTACATCTTGGAAACCCCTCGTAGAACACTTCACCCAGCAACTCGTCCAGGCCGTCACAGTGCGCATGCGTGGTCGGTATCGTCTTCAAGAACAGAAACACAGGTACGAATTCATTGCTTAATCATTTACATTGAAGCCAATACGAACACTACAGCGACCTAATATCTCAATCAGAGTATACAAGTTTTAAGATTAACATCCAATAATTTAATCTTGCTTGTAACAATCATTTTCATTGGCTTAAAAATTTATGTTATCAGCCCATAACGTAATGTGTGTATAGATTAGGTATACTACTTACGCCGACTCGATAAGAAAAATCACACACGCGATCTCAAGTAAACTCTCCGAATACATACTTAAAAACTATACGTTGGTGTCCCTAATCCTATCATTACCTCTTTTGCTGTAACCCATCTTTAACATCTTATATATATATACATATATAAATTTGTATTAGGTTATTACGTGACACATTCATTTTGTACATATATTTATCTGTTACGGAAAGGACGTAAGTAAGTTGCAATTACTTTTGTCCAATCCATTTGTCTTTTGTTGCAATAAAATTGATTTAAACTAAACATAACGTAAAAAAATGACGTCGCCGTTTGTAAGGTTGCTTTTGGCTGATACAGCGGCGCAATAATTTCTTAGATAAAAGAGTCCATCAATAAAAGTGGATTTCCACAGGGATTGTGTATAGTAGATTAAATTATAAGGGTCAACTTGAATATATTTTTCATGTTATGGAGCTATAATACAAAAAACCGGAGTGTACTCTCATCATTAACCGCTTCGTGGTTTATTTAGAGTACTCTCCGGGTTTTTTTGTGTTATATCTCCATAACATGAAAAAGAAAAATATTTTTATCATGAAGAAGTTCGGGAAAAGAAACATGCCTAAACATAACAACACTTATTGCAAAATATGTAATGTTCCAATGATTCGAATATTATCATTTTATAACTACAATGTCTTCTTGCAATTTAGATAAGTGGTTTCCTTAAATCACATTTGATTCTATTTAAAATAAGTACTAGCGAACCTTGTTTAAAATCGCACACCGTTGGTTCCGAGAAAAAATCTTACAACTTATTTCTGCATATAAAAACAAAAATTTCCTGAAACCTTTTCAGTTTCTTTCCAGAACTCCCGATAAGGTGAACCTAAACTTTAAAATCCGGAACGATTTTCCGCACGTCACTGTAAGCTTGACGGAAACGTCCGAGTGCTTTTCCGTACATGTAGGTATCACTCGTCACATCCCGGTAGATTCCGTAACTACCTATTGATGAAGGGTACCAGAATCAGCCGAGGTTAGCCGAATGGTGTAGGTGTGACGGAAATTTCCGGGTGATTTTCTAATTGATGTGCCGACTTACCGTGTACATGTCAGCGTGCATGTAGTTCCTAGAGGTAGAACGAGGCAGAGAACAGGGCATGCTTTCTCCCAGTGTCATCAATGCTGAGTTGACAATTTCAATCGTGTCCTTAAGTGCGATGAGAGAAGACGAAAGTATACGTCGAATATCATAAACCGGAAGTACAATGTTGGCAGGCATTCTGACGATATCGTGAAGCACCGGAAGAGGGTTGGCAGTGCAGGGATGATTCCAGCGATGGCTGCTCAAGTTGCGTTTCGATCTCCTCACAGGTCGTTGATGTGTGCATGGCAGAAGCAACACAACGAAAATCATTCTCAGGTCTGAAATAATGGTTGAAAACTTATAAGTTGGTTTTATCAGATGAAATAAATCAATGAAAATATATCTGGCGGGATGATGCTAAAGAAAACATGAAAAAATACTGAATCCATACAGCAATAGGTAAGGGTAACAATTACTGCAGGTAAAGTGGACGGCCCATCAACACATCAACGTCACGTGGCCACACGGAAGAAAAGGGACAAACAGGAGAAGTGCCAAAGAAGTGACATTATAAATAAAACATCGAGAAGCGACTGACAAACCTTTGGCAGTGGATGTGTATAGAAAGGTTTGCTAGCCCTCGGCCACTGTCTTAATTTATGTGTCTTAATACTTAAACATAAACGATATCGCGATAGATGTAATCTTATCATAAATAATAAAGAAGATTTTATTTACTTCATTGTTCCATGCCATTGTGCTGTACGTCGAATGTGTAAAAAAATAAATTAAGATCTGATCTGAATTAGATCGGACGATCCTTATCGACTGTGTTGTTGTTTTTTGAGTTACATTCTTTGTGCACGTCCTTGTAAACTACGTCTCTGGCCCTTGTATTAACGTCTAGAGTCCGATGACGACGGTTTCCGTTGATGGTTGGGTCACTCGCATAATTAAGTCAAGGGTCATTTTGAAGAGTCAAGAACTGGCCACGGTAGATGACCCTTCACCTGGTACATTACTCCGACAGCGGGCTAACCGGATGTATCTTCGGAAACACAACCGAAACGACGGTGAAGACAACAGAGAAAGAATAATTTCCCAGTTTTTGAAATTGGACATGTAAACAAAGCAAAGAAGTTACATAAACATTAAAGACGCTCTTTCCCAAGGAAAATGAATAATTAGAATGATAGCTTTCCGAAGAATCATAAAAGAAGCATGATTTTTTTTCCAGAGGAAGCATGGGTACTTATAGAGATAACTGTCCCAAGAAAGCATACATGTTTATGATGACTACTTGCACGAGTTCAAACCAAATTTCATGTTCAGAGACCTGAGAAAATAAACCTACAGCGGTATCATAAATAAGTGGAGACACATACAAACTATTAGTTCTGGATTTTGAAATCACTTTTTGTTACAGAGTTATCTATCCTGGCACAGCACTGTGTATGGAAATTTGAGGTTTTCAGACTATAAGCAGGCAAAGTTACCAATAAACAAAAAAACGAACTGTATACACTACTTTTTCTTCCAGTGCAATTTGTATATTGAAAGGTCTTTTTTATTAATTCTGAAATGTCATTGATATTTCACTTCTACCGGAGGAATGAAAGAGAGAGATCCAAAGGCTAATCTAAACTGAAACATTTTAGTGACATCTTCAGTCCAGGATATGATATGATCGACTTCTTGTTTTCATTGGGTTGTCTCTGTCTAGGATATGATCGACTTCTTGTTTACATTTGGTTGTCGCTGTCTAGGATATGATCGACTTCTTGTTTTCATGGTGTTGTCTCTGTCTAGGATATGATCGACTTCCTGTTTACACGGGATTGTCTCTGTCTAGGATATGATCGACTTCCTGTCTACACGGGGTTGTCTCTGTCTAGGATATGATCGACTTCCTGTTTACACGGGCTTGTCTCTGTCAAGGATATGATCGACTTCCTGTTTACACGGGGTTGTCTCTGTCTAGGATATGATCGACCTCTTGTTAACATGGGGTTGTCTCTGTCAAGGATATGATCGACTTCCTGTTTACACGGGATTGTCTCTGTCTAGGATATGATCGACTTCCTGTTTACATGGTGTTGTCTCTGTCTAGAATATGACCGACTTCCTGTTTACATTTGGTTGTCTCTGTCTAGGATAAGATCGATTTCCTGTTTACACGGGATTGTCTCTGTCTAGAATATGACCGACTTCCTGTTTACATTGGGTTGTCTCTGTCTAGGATATGATCGACTCTCTGTTTACATGGTGTTGCATCTGTCTAGGATATGATCGACTTCCTGTTTACACGGGTTGTCTCTGTCTAGGATATGATCAACTTCCTGTTTACACGGGGTTGTCTCTGTCTAGGATATGATCGACTTCTTGTTAACATGGTGTTGTCTCTGTCTAGAATATGACCGACTTCCTGTTTACATTGGGTTGTCTCTGTCTAGGATATGATCGACTCTCTGTTTACATGGTGTTGCATCTGTCTAGGATATGATCGACTTCCTGTTTACACGGG